TATATATATATATATATATATATATATACGCGGAGGGATCTGTTTATTCTAGGAGTAAGTTTATCTAAATTTCGTTCAATAATTCATATTTTACATTAAATTTTAACGATTCAAGCGTTGAATTTAAAGTTCTTAATACATAGATCAAGTCTACAAATTTTTAAAAAATTTAAAAATCATTTGATACTTCATTTTATTAATTCAAATTGACAAATAACCAATCGTTTATCATAATTCATCTTATAGTATGATTTGAAAAAAATTTCTCTTTAAAAAAAATTTAAGTTTGTTATCATTAAAAGTTATACCCTAAGAGATCTAAGATCATCTTTTGATTGAACACCTATCTTAACCTATGCCATAAAAAAATAAAAATAAACAACTTAAGCATCAATCATGACTCCTTTACTCTAAAAAGTTTGGAGCTTGGAGGATTTATGTACTTTCCAACATAGGCTAACCTTCTAGCTAGTGGAAACATGGCACCTTTGCACCTTGCCCTCACCAACAAAGTTTAATGTGTCTAGTGTGAAAGGGAGACTTCACTTATAACCCCTTCACTTTAAAGAGCTTGGAGCTTCAGGGGCTTAAGCTAACCTTATACCCAGTTCAAATGAGCCAAGTTGGCCACAAGCTCGTCCATACTAGGCTCCCCTGCCCATTGACACCACAAAGTGAAACCCTAGGCAGTTCATCCCCAACGACTACAGAAGTATCTCCGCTAATCAATAATGTTATCTTTGCATATAATCAAAGATCACCTTATCAAGAATAATGTTTGTAAGAATATTTCCTAAAATCATACAATGTTATCTTTAAGTCTAGAGAGAAGATATATATATAGGATATTAGGTATTACTCTAATCCAGATCTCATTCTTAACATATAGATAGGGGTGGCAAAACGGGTTAGCTCGACCCGTTTTGATCTTGCCCGCCAAAAATGAGCTAGGCCGGGCCGTCAATGAAAAACGGGTTGGAAACTCTGGCCTGCCCCGTTTAAGGACGGGCTGGCGGGTCAGCAGGCCAACCCGCATACCACAAAAAAGATTGCAAAAAAATAGAAAAATATAATTTAATGTTCAAATAAAAAAAATGCTACAAATAAATAAATATAACCATATGAAATTAAAAATGTATACATATTATACATAATATATGTTCAACAAAAGCAAATTACAAACATAGAACAAAATCAAATAAAAATTAGTCCACTTACACCAAAATCAAAACCAAATTATAAACTTGCAAATTACTAATAATCTAAATTTTTTGATAGTCCACAAAACAAGTCTATCACTTATGCAAGCAACTAAAGTCCAATTACTTATGCGGGTTGGTGGGTTGTGACGGGTCAACCCGTTATTTGGCCCGAGATATTGGCGGGTTGGCGGGGCAGGTTTGACGGGTTGGCGATTGAAATGATGGGCCCATTCGCTAATTTTTGGCTAGCCAACGGGCTGACCCGCGAGTCACAGCCCATTTTGCCATCCCTACATATAGACCCCTTCTAATTTGAAAATCAAAATATTTTTGAAGGTGTTCGTTGTCATGAATAGTGAAACAACTAAGACGTCATCCCACTATTATAACACTTACAAATTTTAATAAAAATAAAAAAACTAAATAACATCTATAAACTGGCTAATAATCTAATTCGTGTCTTCCTATTTAATTAAGTAGTTAAGAGTAACAGAGTATGTTGATTGTAAAGAAAGGGTGATAGAATTAGTTAAGAAAATAAACATGACAGGGATGAAGTTATGATTACAACAAATTAATATCATTTAGTCTCTTATAATATGTCCATGACTAGCATTCACATGTATTGACAACTAGCAGTCGAAATGACAAATAATATTAAACATTAAACATTAGTTAACATAATTAACGGATGGAAAAGAATTAATGTAGCACAATTTTGAATTAACTTTTTTTATTGATTTAAGATACAAAATTTGAAATAAATAGGATATCATTATTAAAAAAAAACTTAATTTAATAATTATATTGAATGGATAAGATTGACTCAAAAATTAAAAATTAAAAATTAAATATATTTTTAATTCTTACAAAATGGACAAATTTTGATTTTGATTCTTGTAAAATATTTTTTTTGTTTCTAGTTCTTCTAAAAATTTTAAATATTATTTTTAATTCTTATAAAATACTTTTATTCATTATAAAATGAGTAAATTTTGATTTTAATTCTTGTAAAAAAAATTAATTTTTGTCCCTGTAAAATATTTTCTTTTAATTTTTGTTCCTCAAAAATCTAAAATCACTATTTTTAATCCTTAAAGATGACTTTAATGTAGATAAATAATATTTATTTTAAAAATTTATAAAGTATTATAAATGCCACATTAGTTTGGTATTACTAATAGTCATGGTAATACTTGAGATGATCACCCTGTAACACCCATATTTCATAATTTATAATAATAATATTTTAGAAATTATTTTAATATTTTAAATGTGTTTATTAAAGGATTTTGATATTATTTAACTACTTATATGAGCATTATTTTATTATAAAGCATGATTTTTAATTAATATTTTGGTTATTTAATATAAAATTGTACCGTCACGGTGAAATCCCGATAGGATATCTTCGGTTACGATAGCTTAGTCACCGCCTCGGCTGGTTCCCTAAGGATAGGTCGATTTATAGCCGAATTAACGCAAAGTATACCATTCTCGGTCTTGTTCCGACACCCCTCCTTTTTCCAGAATCCCCTCGGCCTACGACCGAGAGGTTGCGTCCCAATCGTTTCCTTTATGGCCGAGACCCCACTCGGCCAATGCCCGATTTGACCTCTTAGAATGGGCCTGGCCGGCTACGAGCCAATTTAGCCCTTATGTGTTTAACATAATACTTTTAAGATAAGAACGGTTAAGGAGAATCCCGATAATCTCGAGGCCCATGAGGCCTGTAAACAAGAAACTATAAAACCAAAAACCCTAGAGAAGAGAGCACAAATTACACTTTTGAATGCTCTGGCTCTAAGGCACGATCTAGGAAAAAACCCTAGTCCACCCTTTGGCCGGAACATTTTGGCGCCCACCGTGGGGCTACGGTGAAACTTTTCCTGCGCCCCAAGTAACCCAGAAGAACCAACGCTCTACCATGGCGAGAGGCGGCAACAACAACAACAACAACAACTCACAACCTCCTACCATGGAGGAGATGATGGCCATGATCAATGGCCCGCGAGAGGAGAATGCGCGTTCCAGGGAGAGAGAGGAGGCCATTCAACGCGAAAACGAGGAGATCAGGAGGCGAGCAGATGAGATGCAAGCCAGAATAGCAGCCAGTACCAGGACGGTGGAGGAAGACGTCATGATGGAAGTCCCTAGGGATTTTTGACCCTTCTCGGAAGCCATAGAAGTCGAGATCATCCCCAGGGACCATCAGATACCCCAAGTGGAACCTTTCGACAGAACCCAGGATCCTAGTCAGCATCTGACGGACTTCCGAGCTCAAATGTTGATCTGTGGAGGGAGCATGGAAGTCCGCTGCAAACTGTTTATGGGGACACTCAAAAAGGCGACGCTCGATTGGTTCAGTGGTCTCCCCGACCGATCCATCACCGACTTCGATGTTTTCAATCGGCTCTTCATGGCCCAATTTGCCGCCAATAAGAAGAACCCGCCGATCACGTCAGACTTGTTCGATCTCAAGCAGCAGCGGGAGGAGTCACTGAAAGATTTTTTGCAAAGGTTCAATGAGGTTGCCCTGAGGATAGCATCTTTGGATGAGAGGATGGCTGTCATCGCGTTCCAGAAGGGCCTAAGGTTCAGGGCCTTCGACATCGCGCTGGAGAGGGCGAATTGTCAAACGATGTCGGAGATGAGGGCTTTCACCTTGAGTCACATCAAGACGGAGGAAGGACATATTAACAAAAGGGCTGCTGAGAGCCGAGAGGAGGTAGGGCGAAGCAACAAGGAGAGCAGCAAACATCTTCGACCGCGTTCAGACTGGAATAAGCGACGTGATCGGTATAACGTGAAGGAGGGCAATTACCGACAGGCTAATCGTGGAGGTCGTCCTAGGGGCGAATGGATACGCACCAACGATGAGGAGAAGTTCACCCCACTCAACGTCCCTAGGAGGCAGATACTCCATGATGTCAATAGCGCAACATTGTTCGAATTCCCAGCAGTGACGGAGCGCCAATTGGGTCCCTTCAAGACCGATTGGTGTGAGTTTCACAAGACTCACGGGCACTCTACGGAAAATTGCTTCGTCCTTGGAAGACAGATTGAACGCTTGATCAAGGAGGGACGCCTGAAAAAGTTCATGGCAAGGAAACAGGAGGAAGGCTCGTCAGATAGGCGACACAGGCGTACACAGGACGACACAAGGAGGGATAGGCATAGAGAGAGGACTCCCCCCAAGGACACTCCAGCAAGTTCGTCGAAGATCCATCAGCAAGCAGTCCATGGGAGTTTCAATACAGTGGCGGGAGGATTTGCAGGAGGAGGAGTCACCTCGGCTGCTCGGAAAAGGTACACGCACTCTGTCTTATCCGTGTCGGAAATCCGCCGACCACCTCATCCTACAATTTCATTCTCGGACACCGACTATGAAGGAGTAGCCCCTCATGAGGACGACCCCGTCGTCGTATCGGCGGTTGTCATGGGGTTGAAGCGTGTGTTGATTGACCAGGGAAGTTCCGCGGACATTTTATTTTGGGAAACCTTTGAGGGGATGAAAATACCTAATAACCGACTAATTCCTTACGCAGGGACTCTAGTAGGTTTGCAGGAGACCAGGTCATCGCAAGGGGATACGCCAATTTGGAGACGACCTTTGGCCAAGGAGCTCAGATGAAGATGGTGGTCGTTCGGTACTTGGTGGTCAATGCTCAGTCATCCTACAGTATACTGATCAGCAGACTGACCCTGAACAAGCTAGGAGCGATAGTGTCTACTTCCCATCTGAAGGTAAAGTACCCGTTGCCGAGCGGTGCTGTGGAGGTTCTCAAAGTGGACCAGGAGGTTGCTCGGAAATGCTACGGGGATAGTTTAAAGGCACGAAGGCGACTGTACACTGCGCAGGTAGAGCAGGAGGTCCACTCCGTCGATTTAGATCCTAGAGTGAGCCATTTCGATCGTCGACCGGCCCCTGCTGAGGACATTAAAGAAGTGACAGTGGCAGAAGGAAAGAAAGTGAAGGTTGGTACATCCTTGAGTCAGGAGGACGCAGGGAAACTGATTGAAGAATTGAAAACGAACATGCCGGCATTCGCGTGGCACGTCAAAGACATGCCAGGAGTAGACCCCGACTTCATGTGCCACAAGCTGGCCATAGACCCACGTGCGAAGCCAGTCATCCAGAAGAGGAGGAAATTCGGCGAGGAGAAGCGTAAAGCCATTGCTGAAGAGACCAACAAGTTATTGATGGCAGGATTCATATGAGAAATACAATACCCGACCTGGCTTGCAAACTTCGTGATGGTGCGTAAAAGTAGTGGAAAGTGGAGAATGTGCACAGACTTCACCGATTTAAATAAAGTGTGCCCGAAGGATTCGTACCCTCTGCCGAATATAGACTGCCTGGTTGATGGCGCGTCGGGGTATGAACTGCTAAGTTTCATGGACTCATATTCGGGTTATAACCAGATCCGAATGCACCATGCCGACAAGGGCAAAACCGCGTTCATCGCCGACCAAGCTAACTATTGCTACAAGGTAATGCCTTTTGGCTTGAAGAATGCAGGTGCAACGTATCAGCGTTTGATGGACAAGGTGTTGGTGAACCAGCTGGGTAGGAACGTAGAAGCTTATGTAGACGACATAGTGGTGAAGTCAATGAGTTTGGATCGGCATTTAGACGACCTGCAGGAACTATTTGAGACCATAGGCAAATATCAGCTCAAGTTGAACCCCGAAAAATGTTCTTTTGGGGTCCAAGCGGGAAAGTTCCTCGGTTTCCTGCTAACTCACCGTGGCATCGAGGCAAATCCCGAGAAGTGCTCGACGATCATCAACATGAGGAGTCCTTGCACGGTGAAGGAAGTCCAGCAGCTCACGGGAAGAATGGCTTCGTTGTCTCGTTTTCTGTCCAAATCAGCTGACAAGGCGTTACCGCTTTTCCAATGTCTAAGGAAGAATGATCGGTTCGCCTGGACGAACGAGTGCGAGGAAGCCTTCACAAAACTCAAGAGATCACTAGCATCGCCGCCGATCCTGACAAAACCACGACTGAATCTCCCTCTATTGATTTACATATCGGCATCCGACCGAGCAGTCAGTGCAGTTTTAGTCCAAGAGCAGGAAGGCACTCAAGTTCCTGTGTATTTCGTGAGTCGGGTCCTACAGGGGGCAGAACCAAGGTATCAGAAGATTGAGAAGTTGGCTCTTGCAATACTAGTTACAGCGCGGAAGTTAAAACACTATTTCCAGAGTTATGAGGTAATAGTCCGTACTAATCATCCGATTAGGCAAGTATTACAGAAGCCCGACCTGGCAGGAAGGATGATGAAGTGGTCTATAGAGCTATCAGAGTATTCCATCAAGTATGAGCCGAGAGGAGCAATCAAAGCTCAAGCACTAGCCGACTTCGTGATGGAGTTGACCTCTCCCGCCGATGAGGGCGAGGTCGGAGAGACGCAGTGGATCCTGTCAGTGGATGGAGCCTCGAACCTCGAAGGAAGTGGAGCAGGGATCGTCTTGGAAGGACCGGGAGGAATTTTGTTAGAACAATCACTACGTTTTGAATTCCGAGCAAGCAACAACCAGGCCTAGTACGAAGCGTTGTTAGCTGGCATGGCGATGGCAAAGGAAATGGGGGCGACGAGTTTGTCGGCCCGAAGTGACTCTCAGCTGATCACGGGAGAAGTCGCGGGAACTTTCCAGGCGAAGGATCCCCAGTTGGCTAAGTACTTGGAAAAAGTTAAGCTCTTATCGAAAAATTTCCGAGAGTTCACACTTAACCATGTACCACGGGAGCAGAATTTGAGAGCAGATCTCCTCTCCAAGTTAGCAAGCACAAAGAAGCCAGGAGCCATTAGGTCGGTCATCCAAGAAACCTTAGCTTAGCCTAGTATCAATGAGTCATAGGAGAGTGTCCTTTTCATCCAAGAAGAGCTCGATTCATGGATGGGATCGTACATTGCATATTTGACTCGGGGGGAGTTGCCAGAGGATAAGAAGGAGGCGTCACTGATACAGAGAGAGTCAGCCAGGTTTGTGGTCATCAGTGAAAGATTATATCGAAGAGGTTTCAGTTCTCCCCTTTTAAGGTGTTTGACCACGTCACAAGCACAAAGAGTGATGGACGAAGTGCATAGCAGAATGTGTGGAAGCCATATTGGAGGACGAGCTCTGGTGTACAAAGTTGCGAGGGCAGGCTACTTTTGGCTGAGTCTGAGGAATGACTGCGTCAATTGGGTTCAGAAATGCGATGGATGTCAAAGGCATGCAACTCTACACCACTCCCCAGCTGAACGACTCCACTCAATCTTGTTTCCTTGGCCATTCAACAAGTGGGGTATAGATATTCTCGGCCCATTTCCAATCGCGGTGAGACAGTTGAAGTTCTTGATAGTGGTCGTAGACTACTTCAGCAAGTGGATCGAGGCGGAGCCAGTAGCGACCATTTCGGCCGAGAAGGTAAGGACATTTCTATGGAAAAATGTGGTATGCAGATATGGTGTCCCCCAAAGTACTCGTATCGGATAATGGGACGCAATTCGCGATTGGACGAGTTCGTGATTTCTGCCGGGAGATCGGCATCCGGATGACGTTCACTTCTGTTGAACACCCCCAGTCTAATGGCCAAGCGGAGTCGGCTAACAAGGTTATACTCTCTGGTTTGAAAAAGCGTGTCCAGGACTCAGGAGCTTCATGGGTGGAGGAGCTTCCCCGAGTGCTATGGTCATACCACACAACAGTCCATTCGTCGACCCAGGACACTCCTTTCAACCTAGTGTATGGAACAGACGCCATGATCCCGATCGAAATCGCGGAACCCTCAGTACGTACCATAGCTTTTTCGGAAGAGGAATCCGACCAAGGAAGACGAGTTGACCTGGACCTGATCACATAAACAAGGGAGAGAGCAAGGATAAATCAAGTAGCAGCTCAAAGAAGAGCGGCTTTCAAGTACAATATGAAAGTCGTCCCGAGAGACTTTGTTTTAGGAGATCTCGTCTTGAGGCGTGCTCAGCTAATTCAGATGAAGAACAAGTTTTCCCCTAAATGGGTCGGCCCTTACAAAATTGAGGATGTTGTCGGCAAAGGAGCTTACCGATTGAGGACTTTGGACGGGGATGATACCGAGAACGTGGAATGCGGCAAATTCACGTTTCTATTATAGCTAAACTCTTTTTCCATTTGTATTAGGTGCACTCTTTTCCTAACTCAGTATTTTTTCCCCGTAAATATAAGAGGGGTTTTTGCTGAGAAGGTTTTTAACGAGGCACCACCTTTTCAATTCCAATAAATATCATCCCATTCCTTTCTTTCATGACTTCTAACATGTATTATTTTAAGGGGACCGAAACTCGTGATTGTCGGTAAAAGTCTGACTGGGCGAGTATAAATAACTCGAAGATCGAAACTCGTGATTGTCGGCAAAAGTCCGATTGGGCGAGTATAAATAACTCGAAGACCGAAACTCGTGATTGTCGGCAAAAGTCCGACTGGGCGAGTATAAATAACTCGAAGACCGAAACTCGTGATTGTCGGCAAAAGTCCGACTGGGCGAGTATAAATAACTCGAAGACCGAAACTCGTGATTGTCGGCAAAAGTCCGACTGGGCGAGTATAAATAACTCGATGGACGCGTCAGCTGAATGAATTTCGGTCGCACACTCTACAAGTCGATATGCCTACAGACCGAGATGACGGAGTCGGCAAATTACCAACTACCATTTTTCAGCACTCCGATTATCCCTTCAGGTTTCATTTTGAATTTTCCATCAATTGAGTCGGAATTTGGCCGAGTTCCTCCGCAACATCTTCATTTAACCTAGAAGTTTCTAGTCCAGTTTTGTACGCGGATTCTAAGTCCCTCCACAACATCGTTGTTTAACTTAAAAATTTTCTGTTTCAGTTTTAAACTCGGAGTTTAGCAGAGTATGGATGGGAAATATTCGTTAAACTTCAAAATTTTCTCAATTTTGAACCCGGATTTTACCCGATTCGGTTTGGAAAATGCTCACTTAACTCTTGCCTATCCATGACTCGGCATTTGGACGATCATGTGTTTCCCTCAGTTTAACTTGGAAAATTATCATTTTTCTTTTGACTCGGCATTGGAACGATCATGTGTTTGCCTCAGTTTAACTTGGAAAATTATCATTTTTCTTTTGACTCGGCATTTGAACGATCATGTGTTTATCTCTGTTTAACTTAGAAAATTTTACTCATCTTTTGGATTCGGCATTTGAAAGATCATGTGTTTATCTATGTTTAATAGAAAATTTTACTCATCTTTTTGATTCAGCATTTGAACGATCATGTGTTTATCTCTGTTTAACTTAGAAAATTTTACTCATCTTTTGGATTCGGCATTTGAACGATCATGTGTTTATCTCTGTTTAACTTAGAAAATTTTACTCATCTTTTGGATTTGGCATTTGGACGATCATGTGTTTGTCTCAGTACAACTTGGAAAATTGTTACTTCTTTTGATTCGGCATTTAAACGATCACGTAGTTATCTCGGTTTAACTTAGAAAATTTCTACTCATCTTTTAGATTCGACATTTACATTCAGCATTTGTGTGAAAACAAGCTTATCTTGGTTTAACTTAGACAATTTTACATCTGGTCCAAGGTGCGTTCTTCTCATCATAAGTTGGGAACGAATTCCTAAATTTAGTAA